TTTCGACTTATCCAGAAACTATGTGTGATTAAACGTGTACTTTGATCTGTCTCTGAATGCAATTGAGGAATAGGCAAAAAAAAAAAAAAAAATAGTCCAGAATCGTATACAGAGCCCTCGTACAGTTCGTTTTTAAATAGCCCCTTTGATTACCGTTACTCAGGCTTCCAAATACCGCCATCGACGGAAAAAAAACAGTCAAGGTATGTACCCCAGACGTGCTTAGCTCTAATACATGACGCTTCTCGTATGTTTTTGCAAGATGCATGTTGTGACATTTTACGTGTATAATCTAGTTGGGCTACAATAGAACGAGATTCGTCATATTTTAAAAACGTTCGTAACGGACACTTGCACTTGTCACACTTTATTGTTGATTCAATATATCTAATCATGTAGATTACTAGTCTTCTAGAACAAAAGAGGTGTTACAACTGTAGCACCAAGGGAGATTTGTTTTCTCTGCGGTGACAGAGCTTATACACAGACTGTTGATTAACCTGTGATTGAAACAAACAATGCATGTTTATAAAAGAGTGTCAAATGGTTGTATCACAGTACTGGGATAGAGGGACTGTGGTTGTGTGCAAGTTTATGTTGTACGTAATCCCTTCTCAGCCAAGTCACTTTTGAGTACAAATCAATGTTTACATGTTTTGATAATTTTAATGACATCTCTAATCAGCCACATAGTTTCGCTCTGTTAAGAGTCTTCTACGTTTTCATGACAGCATTTCATCAGAGCCTGACTACGTCTCGAGCCAGCGAAAACTTCCGTGTATGCGCATTCGGCTGAAGCAAAGTTCGGCTCCAATAAACCCTTCGGGTCGAATTTCGATATGGTTGGGCCCAACTTTCGGGCCGAGAATCACGTTCTCAATCGTCTTCTCCATATACCCTCTCATTTCATTTATGACGGAGATAACATCGTTTGTAATTTCGCGTAATTTCTGGTTTGACGAAGAGGTTTACAAATGCAGTCATCATGAAAATTCGAATTTTCGTTGTAACCGTTTGCCGGGCTAGCCAAGTGTGAGATAAGCCAGGATTAATGACAGTTTTTAAATGTTGACGATTTATTTGAATAATGATAATAAAATACATATACCTCGAATAACTATGTCTAAATGTACCTTATATATGTACACATTTCTGGCTATACCATTCGCTTATATCATTTAATTTCTCATTCGATTTGAAACGCATTGTATCCTTCGAGCCGTAAGTTATAAATTAGCGGCATAAGAAGTGTTGAACAGCGCCACCACCGGCCATTTTGTCATTTTGGCAAATATCCAAAACAAACACTCGCTCGCGTGCACATTTCTAGTTTCCTTAGTTTCCGCCGTAAAGGAGAAATATTTAACGAAACTATAATATAGACGGGGTATAACACAGTGTGTTCCATTGTCGGACACACTGCGTACCAGACTTCTCGTTCAAGAACAATTTTTATGGTGTTCGTAGTTGACGGTCGAGTGCTAAATAACCACATCATCATTATTTTAGCCTAAAATTGTACGTAATTTTTATGTGATGGTTTTGAATGTTTTTTTTTATTAATACAGAAATAAACCAAATTGTTCATGAACATATTAAAAATTTTGCTTGATCGAGCTATTTGTTCGAGTTATCGTCCTGACGTCGGCTGTACAAATATTGTTCAAAATCAGAGTCAGCCGGGAAGTTGGTTATTAACAACGCTGCAGTATTGTGAGGGTATATCGTTGTTTTAGTGCCGGTAAAATTATTTCGCCCGTCATCGAACTAGATTTAAACATGCACAGAACTGCAGCTATGCATCTATTGACAGGGATGCATCATGAGTGACCACACAACAGCGATTATTAAAGTTTCTGCATTTCACAACGTTCGATATTAAGCCCAGATTAGTGAATTATGATTTATAATGATTGAACATGGTGTGTACCTTCTTCAATAAAAAGCAGACATGCATAATAATGCGAAGAAGAGCATGGTACTTGTAAACAATGGTATGAGCATTGGATGAAAAATTGCAGGTCACGTGTTCTATATGGCGATGACGTATTGGTCAGCTTTCGATGTGTCATACCCTGCCCATTATTATGAAAAGCAGGGTGAAAGCGTCCTACATTCGAACGTCTTAAAAAACGCGCGGCCATGTCTTGTACGCGCTAGACGTTAGTTTTCTCAATATCCTTCCCAGAGGCCTTTGCGCTTTACGCAATAGTGCCTCTGCCACAGATAGCCTTCAATTTTGTGGTCAATCACCTCACTACGCACGGCCATTTTCCTGTAGCTGTTACATCTGAAAACGTATCACAAAAAGTGGGGAAAAAAACGTATGTGACATCCGAACTATTTATTAATGTCAGACTTCAGTAAAAACGTAAATACAAACCATTTAATTGCGGACTATGTTTTGCAAGGTAATGTTATCGTAGTGAAATATGGTTGGGAAAGAAACATTAAAGACCAATTTCACTGAAAGGAGTTTCCTAACATTTCCGTTCATATTGTATTCTGGTGAATATTTCAATACTATTTCTGACTTGAACGGGTTTGATTTTGCGCGTCTAACAGGCATGGAACAAACAGGTTCTATTAAGTTTATAAAGTTAGTCATTTATTGTGGAAACTAAACTAATGCTTTGGCATGTAGGAAAGGATTGCACTTTTTTAACGCAAGTCATGTATATTTTTATTCAATTAACATTAACATTTTATTCGGAGTCGGAGCGTAAAACGTCCTATTAAAGTGATTAAAGTAACCAAGTGACTTACGCATAACTTTGTTAACCGACAGGGTTAAAGCTGTATTGTGCAGTGATGGATAAGTAACGCGCATCGAACTGTGCAGAGTTCGTAGTTTTCTAAAACTCGGAGTCTGGGCAAGACGCAAAACCATTACATGTACGAGTTCGAGTCAAAACATGTCACCACTGACGGCTCAGCTTAGCAGCCAATCAGCGACAGCCTTACAGTCAGGTGACAATTTAGGTTTCAAATACCCCAAGAAAGTGCTCTATGTTCTTCGTGTAATTAGGTGTTCGTATGCAAGGGATTTTTCCACACAAAAAAGCCGAAGTCGGCCGAATTTTGTTATCGGTTGGCTAAATATAACTCCAACGGATCGCATTTTTGTGAAAGATTGGTATTTTTTTCAGATCTGTAGGAATCTGAAAAACGCGTTTCACAACATGCGTCTCTTATTTAGTTTTAATGCTGCATTCAAGATGGTGGCCCCCATATAGTAAATATCGTATTTATTTTATTATCACGTGTGCGCCAGCTTACTGTGGTTTACATCGATCTTGCGAAACCGCGCGAATCGGACGAAGGTCATGCCAAGATATAATTGATTCACAGTCCCTCAACACCGATTATGATTGATTTTATCAAAGGTCATTCGGGCTGTGAAAGGTGAATACGACGGACACGCAAGTACAGTGGTCAAGGTTTAAAATCCCTATATTCAAATGCTACGACCTTCGATGTATAATTAAGAGAAAACTTACCAGATTTAGCATATGTACAGATCCACACATCGTCCTTTCTCACCTCAAAACTGTCCATGGCTTTTAGACTCGATAGTGGCGCATACCACGGGAAACTGACTCCTTTGTAAGTGTATGTATCCGTCCTCCATGTCCCGTCTTCATTGTACGTGTTCATGACACCCAACGTTGTTCTGGCGAACGTACTTAAAGACTAGCCTCTCTAGAGGGCGCCGTCTATTCACCTTCAGCTGAAAGGTTACGGTGAAAGACGTCTCTCCAAGTCCATTGTTACGCAAATTCTGATTGGTTTACATGTACGCTAGTGTTGAATGTCCGTATCATCACACCCGACGGAATCAAACAACCGGCTGATGCGGAAATAGGCGATTGTTTTTATTCTCAGTAGAGACACAAAGTACCTTTTCTTATTTGTTAATTTTTTTTAAATGGCTTATTTATATCCCTACCTAAAAACAAAACCAGTCCCTAAAATGTATTGCCCGCGCTAAACTTCGTTCTGCCTACCGACAATTTTTGTGAAAAAAATGTTTGTAATCACTGAATAGAAATCCCTTGTATAACATTTTTTTCGCCAAAATACGTTTTTACTGCAAGCCGCATTAAGGTAGAAGCCAACTCATAAATTTGAATGAATATTTTAGAAAATGATGTTAGTATTTTAGTGGATAGTGGCCATTTTTGCAGTATTACAGTGAAACACCCGACGTCTCTCTCTCTCTTCTGAAATCCACATCGGTGATCATGGGCTGATTAGGAATCTATTTCTTTTAAAAGTGTTGCGCCAGGTTTAAGTTGTCGGCGTTTCTCTTTAAAATCCAGTTGCTTTTTAATGGACAAGGACAGTTTTTCGAAAAAAGAACTGAGGTGAAGTGAACACTATATACGACGCTGTAAGGAGAAGATCCACCCCAACTTTTTCTCGTTATTTTCACGACTTTCGTCCACTGATGTCGCACCTTCGGGTCGATTGGAAACGTGTGAATACTTACACAATGAATATACGTATTACTGCAACCGCCCACAACACAACGTTTAACCATCATAAACAACTTCTAAAAACTCACTCTCTCTTTCAAAAAAAAAAAAATAAAAAAGAAAGAAACGCTGACCGAATCACCCTGGCGGACACAAGAGTGGCGTCAACTTGTATTTGTCTCAGTAGGATGAACATTACAATATACACTATCGATCGATCGCAATTTAATAAGGCGTACACATTTGTTTTACCATAAAATTCTGAAAATTTTTAACAGTATAAATTGTTTGAAATTTAATAATATCACTGCGCTAAAAAGAATTCAAACAATTATTGTTACTAATCAACTGAAGGTTGTGAGCCGACCGACCCTTATCGATCCTGGCTTCCCTAATTATTGACATGTGACATGTGACAGTGACTGTATGTACAGTGAATACACTGTAACACATAGTGTCCAGTTTTGTGAAGATTGTACAGTGCACTCGTAAAATGTATATTTTTTTTCCTCTCCTCGGGAAAACATTACTGACCATGAAAGTGTAAAAGTACTTAACTAAACGTTTCTTTCACATACTCGATAAAATGCAACTGTATTTACCGTATCGGTATAAATGTTTTATACAATTGACACGGAACTCTGATATTTTTTTTATAAATCGAACATAGTTTGTGTAGACGAGTTCAACACAATGCTATCTAAACTGGCAAAACAATGACATTTTATTGAATGTTGCTAAGAAATGCCTCGGTTGTTTCAAGAGATTTGAAGAGTTCTTTCATAGCAAAGGCGCTTCACCTTTTGCATGGAGGGGCAAATCTTCTCATGATCCCTCCCACCGAAAGTGCGAGTTTATTATGGTGTTCAGGGGCATGTCCAGAAAGTACGCCTTCGCATCGACCTTCGCTGCGCGTCGGTCGATACTTCCGCTGTACTTTCTTCGTACATACTTTGAGGTATCCTCGTAATAACCTCATATTATTCAATATATAACAGTAAGACTTTAGAGAACATTTTAGCATAAAACTCTCTGTTATGAACCTAGCACAAAAGGTACTAGATTAAACTCGGGCAATTTAATTCTTTGATTTTTTAATTTAATCTCAATTTTAATTTATCTGTAAATGGGATAGAAGGCCTAACTTTAAATTTGATTGAGAGCTATATAAAAAAAGGACAACATCTGTGAATGGTAGATTGGACTACATATGTTTGTGCTGGATCACAATTGGAATTGAAAAAAAAGAATTTTGATCACGTGATGTGCAAAATAAGTATCCGAGCAAGTTTTTATACATGTAGAAATTAAGAAAAAATATTTCCTTTAAATACGGCCGTTCTCTGCGACTTCAGAAGGAACTCGGCGTCGCCAACTGAACAAAGAACCTAGCTATATGGGTCCATAGCTCTTCTTGTATCGGTCTTTAGTCTTTGTGATGGTATTTCAGTCATTTCTTTGCGACATTAAATTTGTTATTTTCAGACATTAGAATAGCACAGAAGTGCTGTGGTTCCTCCCATAGACTTGTGTTGTGCCAAATGGCGTCGCGAATAAAAGTCGACAAAACAGTATTTTCTCGTATCACACCGTCGAAGCTAACGCAAATCGATAATATGTTTATTAAACTCTCGCCAAAACTGTGACAAAAACTATTCATTTCATGTTCCTTTTCTCGGGATTTGGTGCTTCGAGCCACACTATGATGGCAGCCATTTTCTACAGGTCGAACGAGGACAATGTGACGTCACTGGGGAAGGTATTCCCGATAACGTGTTGGATACTCCCGTAAAGCGAACTGCTCGTCGTCTACTTCAGATGCATGCATATTTTTTAGTATATTGTAAGAGAAATATTTGAGTAGTTCAGGGACTGTCTCTCACAAGTTATATCACCCTGTAACAAACTGACCGTGGTCGCGCCAAATCAATGGTCGATATCGACTCTCACGGACGACACCGGTTAAACACTAACAAAAACCTCGCTTTAACTACCACAAGCAACCAGTGCACTCGCATCCGTCGAAGAATGGTAATGGGGACGAAATCAATGAAGAAACACACACCATTCAGGAATAAAACAGCAAAGAACTGTATTCTTCATAGTACCGCTTCAAAACTACAACACATGCTTACTAAAGAAAAACTAAGCGAACAATAAAGATGACCTCATAATTCGATCACATGACTTCAAAGTCAGCATGTAATAGGCTAAGAGAAATTATACGCGTACTATTTCCATATATGGATTGCAATTTTCCCGCGAAAAGTAGGTTTCCAGGACCAGTGACGTTTCTCGAATATACACGAAACTATACGAATGTCAGAGTAACTAAATAATTCCATGACAATATTTAACAGGTTTCAATTGATAATTCTACACGGGGAAAGTAATCCGGACACTTTCGGCAAAACGAATGTGTTAAGGATTGGTGGTGAGTAATCATGATGCATGTAAATGACAGACGTTTGAATCAACGAATGTGTTTAGAAGTAATGGTGAATAATCGTGGATGGCGGGGAGATTTGGTACAAACAAACTTTTTAATTGAATTTGAGGTATGATTTGTTTTGAACTTTTGAACGGAAATTTAGCGTCAGTGGCGGTCTTGACACTAGAACGAGACAACAATTGGTAGACGCAAATAGTTTTGAAGACATGGGAAAATCACAAGACTTTCTATTTCGGTCACTGAGATTGTTGTTGTCAATTAAAATCCACCCACAGAAGTCTTATCTGTCTTTTCACTTGTGCTGCCGTTCTCTCTATATCAGTATTTCATAACCGAGCTGTAAACAAGATTAGCGATTGCGCCTGATCATACTATAGTTAGGCCGGCCTAACTTGAGGATTAAAATTAGATCCGGTCCCGGCACCCCTTCCCATGCATGACTTAATTAGGCCGGCGTAAATATTTAGGTTTGTGTTCACACAAGAAATTAAGGCACGCATAACATTTGGGTACGTATAATGCCGGCTGTCAGGGGACATAGTCCACAGTTTTATCTTCCATTTTACTTGCAACAAAGGTCGGGACCTCTCGATATCATGATGGGTCAGCGTTCACGTTTTTCCGATCCCATACAACCTGACAAAACAAGTTCATGGAAATGTTATCTCTACGGGAACTTGTTTCCACGGAATCACTACCTTGTGTTGTGCGTATTGATGGCGGAGCACTCAGTGGCCAACGACTGAAAAACAATAACGTTCTGTTGTTACATTTCACGGAAGGAGTACAGAGAGTCCAGGCTGTGGACAATGGCGGCAACATTATTCTCTGCCACTGACAGGAGAACAACTATACCAGAGACTGTGAGGGTTCGGTTCTTTTTACAATCAAGTCACAACATAACTCTGGAACAACTTGGATTTATTTTCACGGGTGGAGCAGCCATCCCCGATGTTTTTCTAAAACATGACTTCACAGGGATGTCATCGGGGGTGTTGGGTGGATTGAGGAAAAGTGCTGGAGGATTTCATGCACACATAATCGGTGACGTGACAAAAAAACAAACAAATACGAAACGAAAATGCTTGACGATGAAATAAAAAAAAATGTCGGAAATGTGAATATAGTATCATCATTCATATGTAAATAAAATTAAACTCCAGTCCAAGCTTGGTAACTGATTATCATTCGTCACTTACGCAATATTTTGTGGCGGGCGATATTGCATTCTGTCGATAAGATAAAGATTCACAGTGTTCAATCACAATATATTCTTCACCTGTAGATCCCAGTCTCGATGATGGAATATATACCAGTATTAAAGAAGTCATTCAACTACCATTACCTACCCGACCGTTTACGCGTGGTGCAGGGCTACTACTCGGACGCCGAGGAAATGAGTGTATACAGCGGTGAAATACTAGACGTTATATGCGTTGAAGACGGCATATCTGATACTATAATTATTGCTATATAACCCATTTGTTTAGTTTCAAGCTGATTTGTTGTTGTTGTTGAAAACAGTAATATGTGACAGCGATTGTACATTGGTCGAACACATTATTTCATATACGACCCAATGCAGTTATATAATTCTTCTTCAATACCAAGGGGAAGTTGCATAAATTAATATACATGAGCAGTGAAAAACCCGTCTTTTCAGTAAAATTGTGCCAAAATACTTTCCGATAGCATACATGATAGTTCTAAATTGACTGATTCTATCGTTACGAGCTGAAAGAATAATCGAAAAACTAATATAAAACGTTCCATTCAGACCGGATGGCGCCCTCTCGTGCCAACCTCCTCCTGTCCAATACATTGTTCAAATCACTTTCAAATTGATTGACAAAATCTGACACAGTGAGTGCATAATTTTAGAAATGTTATTGCTGCTCTACTTAGTATCTTGTAGCTAGGAACCAGGCTAACTGCAACCTACGTTTGTCAGAAGCCCACAACACTGGTCACTATAGTACAATGATGTCAACTAAACATTGTACAATGACAGAACTCGTCAATGAAAAACTACCAATGGTAAAAAAAACATTTATTCTTATGATTAGCTCAAATATTTTATGATTGGCATAACTGTCGGATATGTCATGCCGAAGATGTTCGCTAATTGTACAGCTCTGATTCAGTGTACAGCTCAGATGAATAAAGATACAAGTTGAATATGAGTATGTGATATAGCTTCGCCGAGAGAGAACATAAATATTGTTAACCGCGTTTCGCAGTACAGCGGGTAACTCTTGTCTGTGCGAGATGGCAAACAGACGGGTATGCTATGTGGGGTCATGTGACAAGGGGTATTTAAGTGGAGGACAGAAGGTTGAATGTCAATCTAGGCCAGTCTCGCTACAGTGTAGTTTTTGGTGGTTTCCTTTTTTAGTCACACTTTGTTCATTCCTGTGCTTCTCGTGTGAATCATCATGAATCAGGCAGTGCGGCACTATCAGCCCAGCAGTAAAACTTTAACATCACGACTATGTTTTTTTCAAGTGCAAGTAGAAAAGACGGTTGATAGAAATTCGAACTAGCAGATCCAGTAGTGTCTGGAATGCACGACAACGTTCACTTCGGTTAGTTGATTGGGAAGACCTTGGACGAGATGTCAAAACATACAAGACGTACATATCGGCCTATGTTTTGGGCGGCTAACAAGCAGGCAAGAAACATTCTTGAAGCCGTGAAGAAACAGACTACAATATTAATTTTATTTACTATGCAGCCTCGTTTGTATCATATCCGGCACCACAGCAAGATTGCTTACAAATGGCATCGAGTACTGTTTCGAGAGCGGAGAATTCAAAGAAACCATGAGCATCTTTCACGTGCCGTATTCGTTACGTGTCTTTCCAATCCAAAGAT